CAGCTACCACCCTAGACCTCAACTTCTGTGCCTGGAGGCAGGTAGTTAGTGCTGTCCAGGGCTCACAAGGCCTTCAAAATGCCTTAAACTTATAGTTATTTAATCAGAAAGATATAATAGATAAATAGACAGATCCTTTCTATTATTAACCTGGCTATATACTACAGCTTGTTAACATTGGTTAATATACATTACTTGATTTCCTGAACTAACAATGAACAGTATTTTTACATTTACATTTATTCATTTAGCAGACGCTTTTATCCAAAGCGACTTACAATTTGGGAATACATCAAGCAATTCATCTTTAAGAGGCAAATAGACACAGGAAGTGCTCATCATACCAAGTTCCAAGCATTGTTCAAATAAGTACAAGCTAGACAGAGAAAGATGAAAGAAAAGAGAAAGAGATTTGGAAGATCATTCCACCAGCCAGGAACGGTAAACGAAAATGTTCTGGAAAGTGATTTTGTGCCTCTTTGTGATGGTACCACGAGGTACGAGGCTTTTACATAATTTATTAGTTAAGGTTAATGTTGATTTCTATATATGCTAATACATGATATTTCAGGTCACAGACATTAACATTAGTTAATTTAATTTAAACATGAAATTATTATTTGTAATACTTATATTTTATAATATACATATATTATAAGATAGATTAATAAATGCCATTAAAATGCAAAAGCATTAAGTTAATTAACCTTATTGTGAAGTGTTACACTTAAATCCTTCTGAAAAATTAAAGGATTATTTAAAGAAAGTGTTTTCTATTGATTATGTCTCCTATAAAACAAGCAACAATGAAATTTAGAATAAAATAAAAGAATGAAGCAAGACCATTAAAAGACTGACCAAAGGAAGAACTGACAAAGTCTGACAACTACTGCATAGCTACTGATCTTTATCACCACACAGTGGCTGCCAAATGAACTGCAAGACTATCAATTCTTCATTTGTGAACAATCTGGCCTACTTTACCTACAGTGTATTAAAACATTAATCTTTATTCAGATTAAAGAGGCTGTGCTTTAAATGTGAACATGTTTAAACAAATTAATAACTAAGGCAGACAGTTCGTAATGACTAGGCTCAGACAGACACCTTCCAGCTGAAATGTTTCCTGGCAAAAAAACAAAAAAACAAGCAAGTAGAGACAGGGCACTACAGGCATTTAGTATCCAGGCAGCATTCTAAACCTTGTGTGAATTCATTCGAATCGCTAGGGCTGTGCAATTGTCTGACATATATGCATCAACTATTTTCTTTCAACACAGTAGAACAGCAGGATTAATTTTTGTGCTCTTGCGATTTGTAGAGGTAGTAATATTAAAAGACAGCTTGGCTCTGCTGTAGATCAGTGAGGTCGTATAGGAATAGACTTGCTAGGCTCAATTTGAAATCATGAGGAAACAGTGAGGTAGATGTAGGAAAAACAAATAGTGAAAATAGATGGCTTTGCACCTATGGAAACTGAGAGGTCATGCCAGGTTTATGTCACTCTGACTTAGCCATACACAGGTAAACGCTGTCACGTCTCCAGTGTCTAAAATGCATGAAGTGACAGCAAGAGAAACGATCGCATCACTAGATCTTCAAAAACAAATCGAGTACATTTTTTCAATTACCTTCAGCATGTCGCCTAGAACATTCTTTTACACAGTGCTTTGAACAATGTCAAAGTCAAGCGTGCTCACCTGCAACAGAAGTGCAATGAATGGGAGAGACATCTATATTTTCGCAAATAATCAGACATTTTCTTGGTATTCTGACATCCTTTGCTAAAGATGTGCTGCTGTACACATTCAGCATTCATGTCCGTTCATGTTTCAGAAGGCAATCTGAGAAAGTATTTCGAGCCTGGGGAAACTATCTGTGCTTTACGTTTAGTAGTTTATCAGCTTATTCCATCCCATGAAACGTCAAAAGAGTTATTCATCAGATCATTTACACCCATGAAAATCTGCCGACTGCATATTATATTGTATATTATATACACACACACATATATATATATATATATATATATATATATATATATATATATATATATATATATATATATATATGTATGCATATTATATATATATGGGTCATTAGATACATGGCCAAGTGGTTTCTATGGTACTTTTTACATATTCATTAGTTTAATTTCTACAGTAACACATTCTGTAATTAAGTCAATAACATTTCCCCACATTGAAAATTATTTATTGTTTGGAATAAAATGGCTGTCTTGCTAAACCTTGCTAAATTTTCACAATTTATGCATGATCTCAGAAAATTAGATTGAAATTACAATCATTTATTATTATTAACTGTTAAAAAGCAATATTTACCTTGATTTTTCTTTTTCTCTTGCTCTTCAGTAAAACTGTTGTCTCCTCTGTAAAAAGGCCATGTAAGTACAATAGTTTTGGAAAAGAAACAAAAATGTTAGAGACAAATTATAAAAGATACTCCCAGCAGCAGTACCGTGATTGAACACATGAATGCCTAAAGTACTATGGGCCCTTGTGAAGAAGTGGGCACCTTAGGGACATACCCGGCCCTCGGGTAAAGGAATGCCCTAACCATGCCTGGAGCGAACTCCAGGCACGAAACAGAGAGTGCCTGAAAATCCCGATCCTTTTTAGTGAGGAAATAGCGAGGAGAGAGATGGTCTTGAGCCTGAGCAATGATCTTGACACCTCAGCATGGAGATCGAGGAAAACGGAATGCCCCCGTCATGCAGGCTGTGATCTGGATTCAGAACATGCTCGTCTTATTATTTTTAGGACGAGTGTCCTGTTTCTAGGATGGCCAAACGATATTTTATTTTGGCGAATGCACGAAACACACCCCATAATCATGAATCACACCTCATATGGTGGCGAGTCCACAGTCTCCTCTGTCTCGGCACTCATCACATCCACCTCCTCGACAATCAGCTGCTCGAAAACTGACCGTGCATGCTCCGCTCCTAAACAAAAG